TTCCCCGGGGGCTTCCAAAGCGGAATAGGGGATCCAACATCTGTCTTGCTCGCCCGAGTACCGTTTTTATGTCAGGGTTCATGCCTACACGCTCCCTGTAGGGTGCCAAGGCATGGCACTCCTCGACAAGATGAGACACACTGAGCAACCTTTCTCTACAAGCGGGACATCTGCGCGGGTTTTGACCCAGAAGCAGATGCCCGTGTGTCAGACGGGTATGGCCAATCCTCAACCGAGTTAACACGATCCTTTCATTTCGTTTCAGATTCTCATGAGGCCATCGTTCAGTCGTGCCCTTAACTCGCAGGAGCTTCGTTTAAGCTCGTTAATTTTAGGTTAGCTTTTCCTGTATGGCGGAATTACTTTAATTTCCATTATTTTATATTCTTAATCTGCTTATTTTGCTGCTTCAACCGACAATGTTTTTAAAAATGTCAATATCAAGAATTATTGTATAAGATAGTAAAGAAACCTTTTTTAAAAATCAATAGGTTTGTTCTAACTTGTACTTAGTTTATAATATAGTAGGTATCTCCCATTTTGGCATGCTAATGCTCACTATATTGATGTGTCAGACTCGTTATTTCACCATTATCTGTCTGATATCCATAAAGATGACGAAATATGTACCCTGTTCTAAAAGCACTGATAAAGGTACGAGGATCTTTTAAAACCGCATCTACTCCTCGGGTTAACTCGGTTTATAGAAGTTTACAGTAAAGGATTTCCACCTTCACAAGCACCGACCACCTCTTAGTAATGGAATGAACCATATATGTATGTACAACTCTGCGTACTCAACTACTCTCTACTTCCCCAGTGTAGGGTCAGTGCCGTGTAGAGAATTCCAAACATCCTGGCTCTCTTCTCACACTTAAGTTCTAGACAACCCGTTGCCCTCAAGCGTAATTAGGTCAGTCAGAGGATCTGTTGGTATGAGCAAAAAAAAAAAAACAGTTGATTTTTATAACATACTTCGATTATGGATCTGGGGATGACAAACTCAGTAAATAATTAAGTAAAAGTGCTCGATATGATAGTAAATATTAGATTTCTCATGTGAAATCGTTACTTTTCTTCATTTTGATGGGGCGAAGGCAGACGAAAAACATCATTTATTTATTGTTGCATTTGAATTAATTGATTATTGCATATGTAATGCATTTTATTTTTACAAATATTGATTGTTTATTATTTGGTACAGCTCAATTTTGAATGATTTTTGATGTGGATTTATATAGGCTCATCCGCACTTGTACGTACATATATACATACTTTTGCCATGTCGAGCCTATTTGTTTCTCATAGACCACCGGCAATTCCACATTTTGTTATTTACAGTAAATTGCTTTCAGACTCGACAATTACCCACCCTGCTTGATATTAGTCCGGGGATAGTCCTCAATCTTATCCGTCCAGCCAGCGTGGTTGGGCTCCGGGGGAAGGGTGTGCTGCTAGGTCAATTTTTGAACGAATTAGCTGAAACTGTCGCACGAGTACGAAAATAGCGTCGATATGGGTTTGAACATGGTCAAAAAGGATAAAGGTAGTGGTGGCCTCATTTAAGTAGAATACTCGTGTATTCCTTGCATTTCATTTTTGAGATTTAAATAATAAGTAAAATGTATTTGAGTTTTATTTAATTTTCATTTGTCCGTTTTTCCAATCTCTTCGTTCGTGTGTTGCGTTTTGTGAGTAACTTTCGTCATCTAATGTTTATATCGGTTAAAAGAATAAACATGTTTGTAAGGATGAACGATGTTATTTGATATTTATTTAGAAATCGTGAGATGCGGTCTGGTGTGATGTAGGTTTCAGAAAAACATTTTCTTTATCGTGCCAACGTTTCGATCTTTATTGAGATCATCTTCAGGGCCTGGGATTTACAACATTTATATATATTTATTTATTATTTATACATTATTTATTATTTCTATTCCTATATATTATTTATTATTTATTTATATTATTTATTATAAAAAATATATTTTGCATTGTATAAATTCACTTTTCCACATCCAAAATGTAATTGTAATATATAAACAATGTTTGTAAATCCCAGGCCCGGAAGATGATCTCAATAAAGATTGAACCGTTGGCACGATAAAGAAAATGTTTTTCTAAAACCTACATCACACCAGACCGCTTCTCACGATTTCTAAATAAATATCGATTAACGGTCACTAATCACCACACACGATGTTATTTGAATATGACTGACGACAACTCCCATATAATTTTTAAGGATAAATACTACAAAATTAATAATGTGTAATATTAAACTCTTGAAAAAGTGGATGTTATTTTAATCTTTGACAAGAGGGTTGTAAGTAAATCGAGGAAATATTTGGACACTCGAGCTAGATTAATATATATACATATAGATAAGAAAATAAATTCAGAAAATCAAAACCCTATTTGTATATTAACATAAAAGTATACATAATTTTTTATATAATTTAATAATATTTTAATAATTTGGTTGTTAATGTAGAGACAATTTTATAATTTTTCGTTATTTGTGCGTTTCTACTGAATAGTGTATTTGATATTGAATATTCTTTAATACTTTTTAATCATCCTATGGGTTGTCGTATAAATTATAACGATAAAATAATTTATTACTGATTTATATAAGCTCGATTCTATTCTCGTAGATATATAGACAGTGTGCAGCGTACCTATCACTTTTCGCAGTCCACCTTCATTCCGGCTATTGCAAGTTATAAAAATTACCGGCAGGCCTGGAGAATCATGCATTCCGGGTGTTGACAGCACGGGGTCAGACCTCGGTCATATCCCCCAGCCGCCGAGGTTGGGTTTCGGAGGGTATCAACAGCTAGGTCGTTTCAGCCCCCAACGCAACCAGTTCCTAAATCTATTCACACTCACTATTAAATACATTCTTACTTATTAACATAAGTGGTGGAGTGGTTATTCCTTAAGTGGTGGAGTACTCTATATTTCTCCATCACATTTTACATCTATTAAATAATTATCGAAATTGATGGTCGATGGGGTCTCAATATCTCACCGTCGGCCCTCACCTCTACACATTCACGCCAATAAATTCTTTCGGCACAAGCTAGAGACACAAAACAATCCTGTTTCCTCCAAGAATCTGAACCGGGGACCCAAATCTTCGCAGCCATGCTAAAACGCAATTCTCATTCTGGTGGCATTCCTACGCGCTCTTTATATGAAGCCAAGAGAACAATAATATAAATTATATATGAAACTAATTTTATTTATCCTTGTCAAGATTAACGTAAAATTAGATTGATATGGTGCTATGTAAAAGAATAAGCCCACACAGTCAAATCCCACTGGCATATTAATGGTACATTAATTGTTTTTGCTACAGCATGAAATTTTTTACGAGAATATTTCATCTCTGAGGTTATATGAACCCTCGGAGTGCCAGTGTTTTTTAAAAAAATTTCGTTTGTGTGTCCTGTTCAAATGCAGGGCCGCTGGATTCGAACCAGGGACGTTTATCTTACAGTGATATAGTCGAACGCCTAAATGTTCCGGCAAGGGTGAATATAAAAAAATTATTAAAATATTAGGTTAATCGAGGTAGATTATTATGAAGCTAGATTCGAGAATTGACACAGGAAATCGTATTCCTACTAGTATTTTTATCATGAAAGTGTACATTCATTTTTATAATTTAATAATAAATTAATTCAATATTTCGGTTTTTAATATAGCAGACAATTTTCTATTTTTTCATTATTTGTACGTTATTTTTATCAAATAGTATGTGAAAAGTCTTTAATGCTCTTAATGAACTGTTAAATAATTTATTTTAATTTAACAACAGTTTAACAGGTTAACAACAGTGAAAGGATAAAATTAAAAAAAAAATTAATTGACTATTGAGCTAGATTACTATTGTGCTAGCTAGGAAACTCAGGAATCGAATTCCTAGTTGTATAATGTCATAAATGTATTTATACATGGTGTTATGATTTAATAATAAATTAATTCAATACTTTGGCTTTAAAAACAGAAAATAATTTTATATTTTTCTTTATATATACTTTTTTATGGAATATTAAGTTTGATATGTAAAAAAGCTTTAATACTTAAAATATTATGTCTGTACTATCATAATAAAATTAATAATATATGTTTTTAATCTGATTAAACGTTTTATGCTATTTTAATCTTTGAAATTGCAATATAAGAAAGTAATGAAAATATTTGGAAAATTGAGCTACTATTAATTTATATCGATATGGAGAGGTGGGAATAAGCTCACGAAATCAAGCCCCTACTTGTGAACTTACAATAATTTTTTTTATTATATATTTTATATAATATTTTTCTTTATTTGTACTTTTTACCTAATATTATGTACGACATCTGAAATGTCTTTATTACCATGTTAATAATGCAATGCACTTTCATACATGTGATAATAAAGTAAGTTATATTTTATATTAGTCTTCTGAAAAAGTGATTGTTATTTTAATCTTTGACAAGATTAATATAAGAATTATATTACTATGGAGATAGGTATAAGAACAAAACTCAGTAAATCAAACTCCACTCGAGTACGATAAAAGTAATTATACAATATTTTTGGAATTGTTCGGGCAGTTGGGATTGTTAATATAGGAGTTTTCTTTGCTCGATTTTTACCGAATACTATGTTTGATGTAGTAAAAATATTCTAATACTATTTAAATCATGTAATATACTGCCATAACATGAAATAAAATAAATAAAATATATATCTTGCTGAACATTTGATCTTATTTTAATTTTAGATGAGAGTATTGTATGTGAATATTTGAATAGTGGAGGCAGAGGTAGGAGAATAGGGCCGGAAAATCAAATACCCACTTGTATATTATTATAAAGCTGTTTATATTATATTTTTGTTGTGGCAATTTGGTTTTCATCATTGATAAGGAAGGTTCCTTAATTTTTCAAAGTAATAGGATTTTTTCATTATTTAAAATGAAAAATAAAAACATTTAAAAACTAGCCTGGTAAGATGAGGTGACAGACTAGAAGCAATCTGAGAATCATGTTGTAGACGTATTCACGCGTTCATCACAAAATCAAGTTGCTCGCGTACGTCGGTGGTTCCGTTTGAAGCAGCGGCTTGACACAAACTGAATTTCCAAGCTGCCCCCCACCTGGATTCGCCCTCTCCACAGAGCCCGGAGGCGGACCGTCCGCCCCGCAACATCCAGCCGAATCGAATTCAATATGTTTTGTATTTGTATTCAGACACTGTATTTAGTTGTGTCCGACTGCAACAGCTGTGCTGCCCAAGGTGCTTTTCCGCACCAATCGTCCAGTTCTGGCCGGAAGGGCCTACTTTCCCGAAACCAAAATTGCACGGTAGTGTTCTAACACCTCGTGACTTCTTTACTGCAATTTCATAAAAATATCATAAATTAATCAAAAATTTTAAATATTCTTTAAGTGAAATGCTTTGTAGGCTTTTCTATTTAATTATTACAGATAGCCGGAGACTACGTATAGGTCATACAAGAATAACGCGGTTATTCGCCGGAAAGCGACCACGTATGTGCCTGTTATGCAAGGATAGAAAGATTTAATGGATTTTAAAATCGATTCTAAATCTAACGTTTTAAACTAATAAAGGGGTTAATTAAGATGGCAGGGTTAGATCGATCAGGTTTCTTAAACTAATTAAGGTGTTAGTTACGAAGTTTATTAGGTGTAGCTTAACATATCGGAGCTGTTTCTGAATTGTTACATATTCAGGGTTTGCATCAAGACTCATTGGCACATACAAGACAAGATCTTCTAAAGGCATAAAGCCATTACCAACCCAACGACTGTCTTCTAGTTGTTGAATATCGTGATGTGAATCCACTTCTTCTTCGCTGATCAGCATATTACCTGCGATAGTTTCCATAATATCCGTCATTGTAACAATCTGTTCGACAAATCCAACGGTCGAACACCTTTTCAATTGTAGAAGGTTTGACGAATATAGACAATATTTTGGCATATCAACGGACCTGTGCGTTGGGGCGCGGCAGCGGGCACAGATTCGGGTACCTCACTGCTATAGGGATGTTTAAATGTGCGAACTATTTATGTGTTTATGAGTTGTGACTGTGTTATGTCTGTTAATTTATTGGAATGAATATAATTTATTAGTGTGAAAAGAAAGGGGTTATTTAATCCCGCCCCGAATATTCTGTGGGAGTGAATGTGACCAGACGTCTATGTTTCTATCGAGTGTTCCGTTTGAATTAATTGATTGGAATGAATATAATTTATTAGCGTGAAAGGGAGGGGTTGCTTATAACCCCGCCCCGAGGAATATCGAGTACTTTGGGTTGAGTGTGTGACGTCTGGAGAAAAAATTACGTTATTAGCCAGAGTGGTGTGGGTCTACCCTGCCGTGGTAAATATCGAGTAATCTGGGGGAGAGAATGTGACCAGACATATGTATTGTATGTTTTGTTGCTATTCTGTATTTGACAACGTGAGGTACAAACGAGTGGCTAGCAATTTAGGATGTCGACATGGTACATATTTGTAGCAGAATCAGAAACCAGATCAAAGCGCTCAAATAGTTGCAGTTTAACACAAATACCCGCGCAAGAAGAGAAAAAGAGGAAACCGACAGAGGGCCGGCGATGACCTCAGCTGTTTGTCGGCCCATAACCAATAAAATGTACAAAGAGAAAAGAAAACGTCTAAGTTGATTAGCATTGAAACGATTATAAATTTATTGCGGTGTTAGAAAAAGAACTAGGTGGATAAGTAAGAAATAAATTGGAAACAAAGAAGAAGAGCCATATGACTGAAACGCCAGGGCACAACGCGTGGCTTGAGCGTATGAAAAATCTGTGGCGGTGGTGTCGGTGGTGGCGGAGATGGATGGTGATTCCCAAGGAAGGGGAATGCGTTCGCTCCAGGCTGATGTTCCTTCCTGTATGCTGAACGATGGGTGTTCGTAAACGGGGGAGGTCGCCTTAACCTAAGTAGTTCTTTATGAACCGTACACCCCTTGTTATCGGCGGGATGTTTACCTTTACAAAGCACACGCTTGTCTGGAGTATCCCTCTTTGCTACACTTTTCAATGAAATGTGCACCCACATATGTCCTAGTATGACCGTACTGTTGACATCGTTTGCACTGAACGATTTCTTTTCTCTTATGAGGTTACTCTATTCCAATTTTAGGTCAAGGAGTGACATTACAAAACAAGAACTGTACAGAAGTTGTATAACTCAACAACCTGGTAAAAAACAAAAAAATTCATCGTAAAAATCAAATAAAACACATAGAAAAAGAGGCAATAAACATAGCGAATAACCAAATTTCATTGAATTTTTCTTTGATTTTGTACTTTTTTATCTTTTCATTTTTTTCTTTGAAACATGCTTTGCGGATGATAACCCTGCAGTTAGGCCGTTCCCAGGAAAGAACTGAAGCAGGAAAAAGTGATGATCTTGTTCATCCTGTACATCGAAGTTAAGCCATAATATACTCTAAAGGTCGATTCACACACAGTGTCGTGATAGTGTCGTGACGGCCCTTATTCTCGGCCTCTGTGATCATACAGGGCTCTCTAGTAAAACTGGTATTTCATCCGTGCGTTGTAGTGCAGTTGAGTGGCCAAAATGGCAACGTTTTCAGATGATGAACTTTTGATTATCGCACTGATTTTGGATGAAGAAGAGAAACCACAAGGGAGAACGGAAGTGGATCCATCAAGCATGAAACAAAAGGAGGACATAAGGGGAATTTCCTACACTTTACAAAGAAATAGTGGTCGATGGAGCAAAAGTTTGCTTGCTGTATAACTTAAGACTTAAACTTCTTGATACATTAAGAAATATGATATACACACTTCATAAGTGGATTCGACGAGCGAAAATCTAACACTACAAAATTTACATTTACAAGGAAGGAACGCAATGACAGATGCATTTCGTGTACTTGAAATATTCACTGATTATTTCAACTTTGTTGCTGGATCTCTCAAATACTCAACAGCCTTAAAACAATTTCTAATCGTAGTTCATAATTTATTATATCCTGTCGCTATTAATAATGTAAACACTACTGAAATATACACGTACATTATTCACCATCTGTTTTCATTTCTGCTCCTACTTTCCTCCAGAGAATATTCTTGAAATCTGAAATGTATTTCGAATTTGCATGATCGAACAAGGCAGGATTTTTCACACCAACTCCAATGACTTTTTCTTCATTCATGTTGTACGGCCGTTAAAACAGACAAATATCGTCAACAAGAAATCCGACGATCGTGGTCCGGTGGCAACGGCAGCACTGTTAGCAGAGCCACGTCGCGCGCCGGGCGAGTGTGAACAAAGCCGTTCAGTTTCCATGAAGAATATTTTCAAACCGGCCGGTGCAACAAAAAGCCGGTCAGGACACTGTCACGTCACTGATGTGTGTTAATCGACCTTTATACGAGGCGTCGGTAGCCACAACGGTTAAGGAGTTGACACGACTTTTCTTTAATATCATCCATTCAAGTAGGGTCGTGGAGTAGTCGATATTCCTCCATCATCTTCTACCACATACTGTATAATTAACTTTTTAGAACATTCTCAAACTACATATTAACGCTAATAAATACATGTAATCTTAATATACACAGAATTAAGATCAAACGAGATAGATATCAAGAAGTATATCTGTTCATTGCTGTGATTGACCACAATTCTCATGCTGGATGGTGGTACAAGCTCTCTACATGGAACCAAGGATTTACGCCCTTCAATTAAGTCGGACACATTCACTTTTTCTACAAGCCTTTCTTTTGACAAATTCGCGTTTTTGGGCACAAAATTAAGACCCCGTGTCAATACAATGGCCTTAATTCTTAATCGGGTGAGGATGAACCCTTTTATACGATTCAGATTTCCGTGTGCCATCTATCAACCATGCTTGTATGCTTACGTAGGAGCTGTACTTTTTTTAATAATTGCATTTTTAGCTGCAGGGAGCCGGATCGCGATGGTATGGCTATTCATATACATTTATGTACATTATTTATATATATATATCGNATATACATTATATTAGTGAAATAAATATATAAAAAAATAATAACAAATCTTTCTCCATTTTCAAACCACATTCTTGTGAAATTAAAAGAGGAGTTATACAGCGATAATATTGGGCCAAGACAAAAATATACAAATTTTTGCATGGAATAAATCCCTGATCCATCACCGCTGTCGATACAGGCTGCGGTTTAATACAAACTAGTTGGACTAACGGAACGTTTTGCAAGGTTGTCACATCATCCATGGCCTAATGAGTTGTGACTGATTAATCGTGCCAGGCAATAATTAAAAACAACTTAGGTTTTCCTCTATTTTTATATGTGAGTAACAGCTGCTTAAATTTATATCAACTGCTTGCAAAGTGGTTTTTCCTATCGTTGACAGATTGTCGCATCGTATTGGAAAATTTCTTATTTAGTGCCTCAGTGAAGATTAAAAAATTCAATTAACTCGATTTGTCTGTTTTTGCCACCTTCCATTTCAAATCAATTATTTTTTAATTGACCTTTTCAATCTACTACAATATTTGGATAAATTAAATTATGTTCTCGAACCTATATTTTATACCAACCTTTCTTTATTGCATATTTGTTTTGCACGATTGTTTACCATTATGTAACATTATTAGATGTTTGATTATTACTGCCTCTAAACAATGAAGATTTTAAAATATTTTTAAAAAGTAATCGAAACAAAACTAAAACGTATGTGCGAAATACATTCTAGGAGAATATTTTGGTTTTTCTGTAATACGACCACACAGCTTAAACTATTAAAGCTGTTGTTATTATTATTAATTTTTAAGGGCGTTTTAACGGCTCAGGTCATTCGACTCCGTAACTGATCATTTAAAACTTCTATCTTAAGTTAGCTATGTCCCTTCTGAGTACCATGAAAGTCTGACTCCAAACATTCACTCATAATCCAATTTATCTTATTGCCATCCAATGCTTTAATTTCTACATTTTAAAATTTAGAAGGTCAAATGTATGCGAAAAAAATTAAATTGTAAAATATAATTTAAATCTTTCATAATTTAAACATTTCCCATAAGCTTATATG